GAATCCAGGTGCGGTCATTCTGAGACTGAGCCGCTGGGTTACCTTGGGCAAGTCACTTCTCTGTGCCTCGGTTTCCCCTTCTTTGCCATGAGACGATGACCCTCAGCTGCCTCTACAAAGTGTATTGCTAAACTGGAGAGGGTTCAGAGAAGAGCCCTGAGAATGATTACAGGATTAGGAAACATAGTGACAGACTCACAGAGCTCAGTCTGCTTAGCTTACCAAAGAGACGGTTAAGGGGTAACTTCATTACAGTGAATAAGTATCTACACAGGGAACAAATATTTAATAATGGGCTCTGTGCTCTAGCAGTGAAAGGAATAACATGAGCCAATGGCTGGAAGCTGAAGCTAGACAAATTCAATGGCAAATAAGGTGTATGTTTTAAACCGTGAGCGTTTATCCCCTGGAACAACTTACCAAGGAGGGTGGTGGATTCCCCGTCACTGACAATTGTTAAATTAAGATCAGAGGTTTATTCTAAGACACCTGCTCTCGGGGCATGGGAGGTGGGTGAACTCTGGGCTCAGTGAGGCTAGCCCCTGGCCGGTCCCTTCTGCCCAAGGCGCCCCTCCCTTTTCCCGCCACCCCAGCCCCGGCCTGCCCAAGCAGCCCCAGCCCCGGAGCATGGGGCGAGCGGCGTGGGCCCAGCGCCGGGTAGCATGCCCCCCCGCCCCTCAGCCCCAGAGCACTGGGCAGAGTCCTGGGCTGCAGGCTGGCCCCCATTAGCCTCAGCCGTGGCCCCAGCCATGGGGGAAGAGCCAGCAGTACCAGGGGCCTGGGGATGGAGCGTGGGCAGGGTCACACAGGGCTGTTTGGGGAGGCTCAGCCTCCCCTGGCCTTTGATGCCTGCCGCCCATATCTAGTGGTTATTTTGGGGAAATCCTCTGGCTTGTGTTATCCAGGGGGTCAGACCAGATGATCACAAGGGGCCCTTGGAGTCTAAGACTCTAAACCTTGGCTGGAGATCATGTAAAAGCTACGTAGGGTTATCAAGGAGCACAAAGAACTGAGTTTAGCTCTGAGTTTACTGAGTTCAGTCAGTCACATTCCACCATCTCTTTGCTGGCCCATTGTTTCCTATAATCAGGTAGCTCCAGCCCCCAGGCCCTGATTGTCTACATGGGGTAACTGACCTGACTAGTTACTGTGGAATAAAGTGTTCCCTGATACCTAGTCCCGACCAGCTCCCCACGTGGCCGCTCTTCTGGAATAAATGTGAAGGATGGGGGGGAGGGATAGCTCAGTGGTTTGATCATTGGCCTGCTAAACCCAGGGTTGTGAGTTCAATCCTTGAGGGGGCCATTTAGGGATCTGGGGCAAAAATTGGGGGTTGGCCCTGCTTTGAGCAGGGGGTTGGACTAGAAGACCTCCTGAGGTCCCTTCCAACCCTGAGATTCTGTGACTAGACCGTCCGCGTGGGAAGCAATTCCCGAACAGCTATTGCAGTCGACTTCCCCCTAGGACAAGCCCCTGGCGTGTCACCATTCCTTGAAAAGCTGACGCCCCTTGGCTCATTGCACAGCGGCTGCTCTGTCCTCAAAGGCGCTGGGCCGTTAGGAGTCTTTTCTCTGCCGGCGCCCTTAGTCAGCTGGCGCGCCCCCCCCCGTGGGGGTGGCTGACTTTGCAGGAGAGACCCGGGTTTGAATTAGGGAGGAGGGAGGGGCCTGTGGGGCGTGGCCGGTGGTGCATGTCAAAGGCCAGCAGGAGCTGAGTGCTGGGGGGGGGGGGGGTTGCCAAGCTGCTTGCGGGGGTGGCCCTGGGGAAAGATTTGCAGGCATTAAAGCGTCTTTCTCTGCTGCTACACGCTTCCAGCACCAATGAGGCCTCCAGGGAACGCCCCAGCACTGGCATCCCAGCTGTTACAGAAGGGAAAGTGCCACATAGCGGCTAACCCAGATGAAGGCTCTATTGCCAGAGTGGAGAAATCAGTGACTGTAACCCTCACCCCGGCCTGGATTTGAACCCTTGACTGTCTGCCCACCCGCCTTACCCCTTGAGCTAAAGAAGCAGCACCATAGCAGTTAGCAGTAGCAGGCTGCTATCCTCTAGCGGACATGGGCACATGACACACGTTGTCAGGCTAAGCAAGGTGCATGCGCATAGTAAACACTCCCTGCCCTAAAGATCTTACAGTCTAAAGAGAGCTGGCCGGTGCCTCAGTTTCCCACACTGAAAAACGGGGATGTTGCTGCTGATCCCCTTGCAGAGGCACCCAAGGGCTTTGTAAATTCCTTGGGGACCGCACAGTGCGAGGTGCTGCCCTACTCCTCATTCACTCTCATGCGAGCGAGAGAATCCGGCCCAGGGCTGGTGTATTTAGGATGACCAGACAGCAAATGTGAAAAACTGGGATGGGGGGGGGAATACAAGCCTATATAAGAAAAAGACCCAAAAGTCGGGACTGTCCCTATAAAATCGGGTCATCTGGTCACCCTAGGTGTGTTCCTGACTGGGATCGGCTGGGGGCAGTACAATAATGTCCTATTCCTAGAGATGGGGAAGAAAAACACACTTACTTATTAAATCGCCTTTTCCCCTCTGACGCTGTCCCTTCGCTTTCCCGGTTCAGGGTCATCAAGCCAGATGCGTCATTTTCTTTCCAATTCTAAACTCAAGGCTGCTGGGAGTAAAGGCAAAGCTCCCCAATCTGGTTTGACAGGAGTTCTGCCTGGGGTAGGGGGAGTGTGCCGCCCCAAGGGGAGCAGTGGGGATACCTGGGGAGCCCCCAGTGAGGTGGGGGAATACACCTTCTCCTACACCCCTTTCTGGGACACTCCTTGCTCCCCTCTGCATGCTGGTCCTAGTGCCTTATAGGCTCCCCAATTTGGTATCCCATGTGCCCCCTGCCAGTTTGCCTGCATGTGGGGGGAAGAAAAGGCCATCATAGAATATCAGGGTTGGAAGGGACCTCAGGAAGTCATCTAGTCCAACCCCCTGCTCAGGGCAGGGCCAATCCCCAATTTTTGCCCCAGATCCCTAAATGGCCCCCTCAAGGATTGAACTCACAACCCTGGGTGGAGGAGGCCATGCTCAAACCACTGAGCTCTCCCTCCCCATCCCATCTCCAGTCCCTGCCCTGCGCCCCTCATGCTTGGCAAGTGGCAGATTTTATGGCGGGAGAGGGAACCGCTGCTGTTTGGAGAGCGTGGGCCAAACACGGAGGAGGGAAAGCAAACAAACCCATGGCAAGTGGCCAAACATGAGATCGCGCAGCCAGAGACTATGCCAGGCAGAGACGCTGCCAGCCTTTCCCATGTGAGAGCCACGTGCTGCCCCCTGCCCAGCACTGAGGGGAGGGTGGCGGGGGAGGCGGTCCCCAAACGCCTCCCCATTGGAGCCCATGCCTCGCTCTGCCCCAGTGGAAAGTCAAACCAAATAGTTGACCCTGGGGGCCCAATTCTGCAGTCACAGGGAGTGTTGGCAGAGTAAAGCTGGCAGGATTGGCCCAGCAGTATTAGTGCTGGGGTTTATATTTAGTGCATCTTTCTCTGCCCAGGCAGGATGGTTCTCTGCAAAGAGGCCTGGGAGTCAGGACGCCTGGGTTCTCTGCCTAGCTATGCAACTGAGCCAGTCACGTCAGTCCAGCGGCTTCCCTGTCTGCAAAACTGGGGGTCACACCCACCTTCCCGCCCCTGGGTGCTGTGGGTCTGGGTTCATTGTTTTCAAAGCTCTTTGGAGGGAAAGGGCTGGATAAGATCAAAGGATTTGGGGAGAATATTACCATTATCACATGGAGAGGGGAACTGGAACGCTAGATCAGATCATCCTGTCTGGTATCATTGCTCCAAAAGTGGCTGTCCCCAGCTGCCCCAAAGGAAGCTGAAAGAAACCCTGCAGTGGGCAGTTATGGGATAATCTGCCCCTATGACAAGTTACCTCCTGACCCCTAATGGTTGGCATGCCCTGAAGCCTGAGGGTTTATACCCCTCCCTCAAATCTTAGCTTTTTACATTCTCTCTATTATAAGCTGGGATACTCTTGTTCTCCACAGAAATGCCCAGTCCCCTTTTGAGTCCTGCTCAGCTCTTGGCCTCAATGAAACATTGTGGCGCTGACTTCCACAGGCTAATTGGGAGTTGTATGGAAAAAGTATTTCCTCTTATCAGATTGATCCAGTTCTAAAACCGCGAGTGATTGACATTTCCACCATGTCCCTTAAGTACGTCCTTCACCCCACCAGTCAGGAAAACACCAGCCGTGGGCCGGTGTCTCCTCTGTCTAACCTGCGGGAGTTGTATGGCGGGGAAGGGAGAGGCGAATCGGGCCTCCTGTCTCTTTAAATAGACGGACAATAGCAGGCGATCAATCAATGTCCATGTCTTCTATTGCATCATCCATCCTGATTCCTTTTGTCCAGCGATGGGGTGGTGGGGTAAGGGAGAAGGGGACAGCAGGGCTGGGGGAAAGGGAGGAGAGTAGTGTGTGATAAGGGGGATCATGCTATACTGCTAGGTCCCTCTACCGCCCTCCCCCACGCTCTGCCCCCAGGAGCCAGCGGGCTTGGTCCAGCTCCAGAGCCCAGCTATCTCCAGGGTACTTCCGTGGGGCTCCTACAGGCGCCCGTTATCTGTGCGACGGTTCCCACTGCTGCGGCTCCATGCTCCGGACACGTCCGGCTCGACCCCGTGTAAGGGCTCGGGCTGGGCTTCCGCCCGGGGTGCCCGTGAGCCGACCGGGTCCGGGTGGAGTCTGCAGAGATGCCGCGGCAGCTCCGGGGGAAGCCAAGCAGCGGGATGGCTCCGCCTGACCGGCTGCCCCGTTCCCCTCTGTAACACAGGGCCCGCTGTGTAGGCAGCTGAGACACCAATAGCCAGGGAAAGTACAACCCGGGCCAGGCCCATATGGCCCCCTCTGGCCCTCCCCAGAGCTCTCTCGCGCTCCAGATGGACCGGGGGTGCTTGCCGGTGGGTGCTCGGAGACCCCAGGGCCTCCCCATAGATACCCGTGCCAGCTGCTTGGCTTTGGATCTGACCCTATCTCCCCCCTTCTCTCCGCAGAGCCGCCCTGCCATGTCGTCCTCCAGACGCCAAGACACGGACGAGGTTTTCGGTAAGTCCGCTGCCCGATCTGCACCCTCTTCCCGCCCGCCCTGGTCTCTCTGAGCCCACGTCCTCTGGCGCCCACACGCTCGCCCCCAGCGTCGCCAGCCCAGGGAGACTTTCACCGGCCTGCAGAGCCGGCCAGGGGTGGCGCAGACCCAGGCTGGGGGGGGAATGTGGGGCTTGGGGAAGGAAGGTCTGGTGGGAGGGGGGTGTTAGGGCCTGGCAGTTGAGGGCCGGTGAGCTAGGGCATGGATGGGTTGGGGAGCCGGGGCATAGGGGTGGGGGAGGGGGGAATTTGGGAGCTAGGACCTGGCTGGGGGGAGGGGGAGATCAGCAAGCGCAGGGGCCCAGGGAGGGTCTGGAAATGAATCCCCATCCTGCCCCTGAAAGCCGAGATCTGTTTGCCCACCCCTCTCATCTATGGGGCTCCCTGGCCCAGCGGGGCCTGGATCCCTGGGAGATGGACTAGGCTTCTGTCCCCTCGACTCCGTCCTCCAGCCCTAGGCTGGATTCATCCCTGGTGGGAGCTCCCACCGCTGCCCTTCGGGGGCGCTGTGCTGGGGAAGGGCAGGACCTGCTGAATCAGCACCCAGCCCTCTGGCTCCCAGGCCTCCCAGCGGCGGGGAATCGGGGTGCAGCTTGCATGGACACCGCCTCTCCCGCACACGCCTAGGTCAGACGGTGCCTTAGAATCATAGAATCATAGAACATCAGGGTTGGAAGGAACCTCAGGAGGTCATCTAGTCCAACCTCCTGCTCAAAGCAGGACCAATCCCCCATAGTTGCCCCAGATCCCTAAATGGCCCCCTCAAGGATTGAACTCACAACCCTGGATTCAGCAGGCCAATGCTCAAACCACTGAGCTATCCCTCCCGCCCAATCCCTTCTTGGGAGCCGGGTGCAAGTGGGGCCCTAGGTGTGCGTGACCCCCTAGGATGTACACGTGGGGCTCTGCCTCCCCGCAGGCGCCTCTCCCCACTGGCCTCCACCCCGTGCCCCCTACAGCTGCTGGGATCCTGCAGGGACCCTGCGTCCCGCTAGAGCCCCCTGGACGACTGCATGGGGCCTTGCTCATTCAGCCTCCTATGGAGACCCCCAACACACACACACACACCTCCCTCTTGTCTCCAGCTGGTCTCCCCTCCACTTTCTCTCTCATCCCTTGCTGCTTTCTTCCCCTGGTCCCTCGGTGGCCAGGTGCTGCAGCACCCACTCCAGCATCCACTCCTACTTTGCCTCGATTTCCCATCCATCTTCTGTGGGGGTCAAAGATCTGCCCTGCTCCCCGTCCTCGGGGCCTGATCCTGCCTCCTTTGGCTGCCTGAGACTCTCAGGCAGGATGAGGAGGGTTTGGGGCACAGAAGGAAAAAGGATCAGGCCCCTCATGTGTTTTGCACCCGTGGATCTCCTAGCTTAGGCGGTTGTGCAAAGCACGGCTGGCTCTGGTGCAGCTGGTCGCAGCTGGGGACAATAGCGTGACCCTGTCTTATGTGGGTGCAGGGCATCCACAGGGGTTTGTACTGCAGTAGCTGACCCAGTGCCAGCCAAACCCAGTGTAGACAGGGCTTTGTCAGAATCTCCCCCTCCCAGTGTGCATCTGCCCCTCTCATTGGCTGACGGCGATAAGCACCCAGGCCGGTGTGCGTGCATGAGCGTGTCCACACTCACACGCGGGTGCGCGTATGGTGCCTGTGATTAGCAGGAGCCTGAGCCGTGCCCTCCTGCAAAGGCCACTGCCTCGACTCCCCGGGGGCTGGAGCTGAAAGCCCACGTGCCAGCTGCAGACGGCCGATGCTGGGAGTGGTTCCCATCTGCCGCTGGAGGAAAAAATGTCACCCTAAAAATAACCAGGGCGGAGGAAGCGGCTGGCAAGTGAAGGGGTGAGTGGCCCCAAGGCACAGCTCTGATTTTCCCCTGCTCGGGTTGGCACCCGCCTGGCGTGCCCTATTTATAATGAACGAGCTGGGATGAGCAGTGCGTGGCAAAGACAGCCCAGGGAAGGCTGGGGACAGGCAGCGTGGTGAGTTACATCCTCATTACAGCCGGGGGGTGATGACTGTGTACCGCATGGGGAGGGATGCGGTGACTGTTTGAAGAAGATGGTCATCTAGCCCAGTCCCCGGCAGGACAAAGTCATAACTAGACCGTTCCTGAAGGTGTTTGCCTACCCCAGGGGTTCTCAACCCTCATTGCACTGCGACCCCCTTCTGACAACAAAAATTGCTGCACGACCCCAGGAAGGGGGGGACCAAAGCTTGAGCCCACCTAAGCCCCACTGACCCGGGCGGGGAAGGGGTCAAAACCAAAGCCCAAGGGCCCCAGCCCGGGGGCCCGTAACCTGAGCCCTGCCGCCCAGGGCTCAATCCCTCCGGCTTTGGCTTGGGCCCCAGCAAGGCTAAGCCAACCCTGGCCACCCCACTGGCGATCCCAACCCGCAGGTTTGAGAACCGCTGGCTCAAACCCGTTCTTCAAACCCTCCACCGACGGATTCCGTGCGCGCACGTAGGCACGAGTGCCCGCAAATGTCCCTGCACCCGTGCCACACACATGCACTTGTGCCAATATTGGTGGGCATCCATGGTGTCACAGGCACACACAACACCCGCGTCCCAATAGGCCACATGCACCTGCCTGCGTGCTCAGGTCCACACGCGAGGTGCACGCGGGCATCAGGAGTTTGCTGCTCTGTTTCTGGTTACCCAGAGGCTTCTGCTGGAGGCATCTAGCTCTGGGGAGGGGCGGGCTGGACACTCTGGCGAATGCCGGACAGCGTGAGCCTGGAGCATGCAGGGTGATTGCCTTCGTTCCTAGATGTAAATACGGGACTGCAGTAACTGACGTGATGAGGAAATGGGACCATAACACAGGACCCATAGAGCAGTGGTTCTCAAACGTTGTTTTTTTTTTTCCCGCGGACCACTTGAAAGTTGCTGAGGGTCTCGGCAGACCACTTAATGATCTTTCCAAATGTTGCTTGTACCATTAGCTAAGTATTGTAAAGCACTTTGGATAAAAGTGATATATAAAAAAACCCTTAATAATCATTAAAGGTTTTTTTGTTCTACAAATAAAAGCACACAACTCATATTTTAATATCGATAGGCTTATCTTTCTAATGCGATGGATGTGCCCTCTCGCCCCCTCCGCGGCAGCCCCCGAGCTGGGGCTGGGAAGGAGGGGAGTCTCTCCAGGTGTGCACTTTAGAGGGAACTATCCGCGGCCCATCGGAATGGTGCTCGGTCCACAGACCCCAGTTTGAGAACCTCTGACACAGAGCACGGGAGTTAGTGGCTGTTGTAGGAATGGCTTTGCAGCATTGTATATTGTGAGGTGCGGCGAGCCCTGTACCCGAGCCTCTGTAGAGGCAAGGCGAGCTGGGTGGTTCCTGGCGGCATCGCTACCGGCTCTGCCTATAAGCCAGATTGTCCGAAACGGTCCATTATAAGACTGTTTCCAGTTGCTTAGAACTTTTGCAGCCCAACTGGTTCAAGGTTGGCAATTTCCCCTGCCTCAAACTGAATTTGGAGAAGGTGTGTGTGTGTGTCGGGGGGGCCGTTTCAGTAAAAGCTATTTGGCCATTTCTAAGAACGGGGTGAGGAGAAAACACATTGTTTTGCCCAGGTTAACAATCATTCTTGGGTCCATTTCTTTGAGACTCTCTAGCGCCCCCAGGCTTTGGTGCAGGGAGTTGAAATTGGACGGGGGTGGGGAGAGTTTCAAGGTGTCAACCAAGCCCCAGCCCCACTGGGCTCGGGGTGGCACGAACACCTCCTAAGAGCCCTCTCCACCCCCAGTCTAATAGATAAGGCAGCCGAAGGCTGGGAGAGGCAGGGAGTTGGAGTGGCTTGTCCAAGATCACCCAGCAGATCAGCAGCAGAGCCAGGAATCAAACCATGTGCCTCACACCCTACCCACTAGGTCATACTCCCCCTCGCGTTTTTGAGGCAAGGCACCTTCTTTCGGTGCCTAAATGGGAGTGGAGCTCGCCCCCCGCGTGCGCATGCTGAGCCCTTGAAAATCAGGCCTTAGGCTCTTTAGAAAACTTCCTTTGGGCCTTCTAATAAAGTGTCAAAAGCCAATCTCCCCTGCCAGAGAAGGGGAGCGCTCCCACCGCCCCGGGGCTGGTCACTAAGCCACTCTCCCTTGGGTGAGGAGGTATTTTGGGGCAGTCCTCTGGCCTGCGCGATACTAGAGGATTCTAATAGTCCGTCCTGGCCTTGGGGATTTGAAATGGGCAGAATGTCTGATTTCCCCCCACCCTGCCGCGAGATTTTCTGGTTTTCACAGCATTCACGGTCCTTTTCACATTTCCTGGGAAATCCAGGACGGCTGGGAATCACAGGTGCAGATGGCTGGGAAGCAACGCGGGGCCTGGGGAGCTCTGCGTGCAAGCGGAAAAGTCCTTCCGGCAGAGAGGGGCGCGCACGACGGTCGCACCGAGCCGGCTGCCGGCTCAGCCGTCCCTGCCTGCTAGGCATTTTCCATCTCCGGCCTTTAAAGCTCGCGAGCATTAGCGCGGTGGGGGCTGGGCACAGCCTGCAGCCTCCCTGGGTTCAGGGAAATGTTGTTTGCTGCTCATGTGAAGCATGGAAAGTGCATCCAGATGCGACTGGGCTGCCGTCCCTCGTGACGGGGAAAAGGCAGTGCTTGGCTGCGCGCCCTGCGAAGGGGGATCTGGGCAGAGGCTGCCGGACGCACGCAGGCCCCGTGATTCTCTCCAGCGAGCGGCTACCCGTGTGCCACTGATCTTCAACTCTCCCCTTCCAGGGCCCCGAGGAGCCAGGCCGTAGGCTCCTGGCCGCCAGCGTCCCCGCCTCTGAAGCATCCAGCGTTGGCAGCTGCGGGAGGCGGGATACTGGCCGTGCTGGGCCAGCGCTGGTCTGATCCTCTCCAGCCAAGGGGACAAGGGGGAGGTTGGGGCCCAGCACTGCTGTGGGAATGGGGCTCCCCCCAGCCCCTTCTGTCTGGTGTGCAAAAAGGCTAGCCAAGGCGTTACTCTCTCCCACG